CGTGAAATGTTCATGTTGTGGGCCAGATGTGTTACGCCACCACGTAACGCGGCCGCAGCACACCACGACAGCATGTGACGTTATTGTTATTGTTTTTGTAATCCCTTGGAGGCAGTGGAATAACAACTGCCTATTCATCAAAAATTGGCAAACAAATGTCTATTCACCAAAACCTCCCCTGTATTCGTCTTTGACTAATCAGTGTGAAATTGGGCAAACAATGACTAAAGGATTTTCATACCTGGAAGTTTCTTCAGAGCCTCGCTGATGTCCGCTCCAACTTGTGTTGTGACAGGACAGAAAACCAGAAGGTAGTCACTTTCTCCAGAAGACTTCACCTCAGTTTGGCCGGTGCCTTTAAGCTTTGCAACGAAGGCTAGATGAGCCCCGTGAGTTTCTCCCGCCATGATGACAAAGAACTTTTCAAACGGCACTGAAGATAAAGAAGAATGTTTCATTATTGAGCTTTTACATAGTTTTGTGGCAAAGAGGTAATTGAGAAAATAAAACAGGTTATTTATTCTCTCGCAGTCTAATCTAAATTGTTTCCTCTCCTGTGTCTATGTTGTCAGAATATTGATGGAAAAAAGGCTTTTCTAGAGCAAACTAAAAGCAAATATTGACAAATACTAATAATAAGGAATACATGCATTTCTAACCAAACAGAAGACATAACAGCAATGTTACATAACTTGCTAACACTTTTAGTTCTATTTAAAACATTGGTAGTGGTGCAATTCAGCCTCTTGTGGCCAAAATGAGTATTACAACAACAATTTTTTTCACCCAAATGAACCTGGCAAAACCTTTTTACACCTGTTGCACAGATAATAAAAAAATGAGGTGATGAAGTGGAAAAAGCTTGTTTTTTTGTCATAAACAGGAGATAAATAACAATTTAGATCAGACGTTGTTGCACCCAATTTTCCCTCAGAGCCTCTGTACATATCATCAGACCTATATGAAGGAGAATCATATTTAAAAAAAGATCTTTACAACTTTACTACTTTCATTAATAAGTTCAACTTAAAATCACTATGTATGGAATTTTAATATAATTATAGCATCTTAAACATTATTTTTGTGTAACTGGAGGTGTTCAATATATGAATGAACACCTCTTGAAATTACAGATGCAGCCACAGAAACAAACATGAAGCACAAGAGCTACCAGGATGCCACCTCAATTAAATATGATTATGCCACACCTTGAGGGCATAAAGACTTTTGAACGCCTATTTTTATTTTTTGTACAAACCTGATTTGTTATGTTGGCTGATGGACTGGTCAATGGAGTTTCATCAGATGCTGGGGTCCGTCCCCTCACCTCTTTTATTTGTCTGATACTCTAATGCGTGTCAATGCCAATATGTGAGATGTCATATTATTAAGATCCCCAACAATTCTGTCATCGCTTCTCCTCTCAGTAGTGATAACCCTGATCATGGCCCTGTAGTGAATTTGTGGACTACTATTTTGCTTAGTCAAGCTCGAGACATAAATGTGTCCAGAACGAGAGAAATTACAGGAAGAATCCTACATTTATCTCTCCTGTATAGGATGTGGTTTATTGTTTGTTGGTTGTTGTCTGTGTATGTGGTCATGTAGTTACTGCTGGCTTTGCCCTCAATTAAATTCAGTCAGTTGATCTCCATTTATAATATAATATTAGTAAGAGCAGCTTTAAATGTTATATTGTAATGTGTAATAGTTTATTTTCTTTAACACTGAAATATTGCAGTCTTGACTCAACAAAATTCTTCAATTTATAAAAACACTACATTTGTTTTCTCACCAGTTGCCTTTTCCTGGTCCTTGTTTCTGATAAAGAAAAAGAGAGCAACCTTTAGTCAACCTTTAGTGAGACATGGGAAGGTTCAATTGTGATGGCAAAATATAAACGTATAGATTTATAAATAAATATAGATTGAAAAACACAGTAACAAGAAGGATAAGTGACAACCTACCCAGATCGTATGTACACAATGAACACCAGTCCCAGCACTACACATAAGAAAACAAGCTTCCAATGGTCCCTCAACACTAACATAAAAAAGAAACAAGCAATGAGTATGGAATGGAATCATTTACTACTAATAATACCAATTTCATTATTCTTTCATGCAAAATAAACTAAAGAAATATCTTTACAATCCAGGGTTTTTTTCCTAGTTTTGGCCAATAGTCTTGTTATATTTATTTTTTAAACCTGGAGGACACAGCAACACCAGTAGACATAAAGATTATGAATTATTTAGGCTGTGCTCTGGTATGCTTTTATGACCGTTTATAACTAACAATTAGGACATGAGATATGCCAATATTATTCAGGTAAATATTTTTGGACAACCTTTGCCTGTTTACCATCAACTTTGTGTGTTGTAAACAAACCAACTAGCCAACAGTTTGCAAGGCTGCTAAACACCTACTATTAAATATTATGAAAGACTGGTTCAGCAGGTTTTTGGCTGACTGTTTCAAGTAGGTGGGGCAAAAACAAGAATGTCTTGTGCATGCAAATATAGTCAGTGCTGGTTCCTATCTGCGGTTTAGCTTCAAGGTTCAAGTTGTCATGTTTTGTGTTACTATCCAATAAATAAGCTATACATTTTAACATAGACAAATGATAATATTAATGTATATATGGCCACATGAGTACTGAAATTACAGTCACACTTACAATTGTACAATTTTTGCTGGATAGACTCCTGAAATAAACAAACAAACAAACAAACAAATTAATAATTATGTGCAGCATTTCAGAGATGGACCGCAGTAATGATTCCTTATCCCTTAAAATCATAATATCCCTCATTACAGTCATTACCTGGAAATCAGAAACTCCAAGATACTTCTGGACATTAAACCATGCAATATCATTTCGGTTGGACGTCAGGAGTTTGTCCTTATAGAACAGACAGTCCACAGTA